CCCAAAAAAAAAGGCGAAATGGGTGGTTTTAAGGCAGGGATGTGCAGTCAGGGGAGGAAGAGCCTCACCTAGCATCATGGAGGTAAAAGGCATCAGCATCAATTCTGAAACCAACAGCTTTTTCTCCATTCAGATCGGCTTCAAGCAGGTCACACAGCAGGGAAAGCCTCCCAGCTGTGTAACCTGTCATGGAGTGCTGCATCTGGCTTTTGACAACCTAGTTAGGTCACACAAGCAGTGGGGGGGGCTGCTGCTGTGTAACCTCACTGCTTGTGTGCCCCAACAGCCTCTACTTGCTGTCAGAAGCATAGTGCCATTGGTCCAAAAGAAAGTGGACAGGGGGCTCCTCCCCATCCCTTCTCCATCCTACTTCTTCCCTCCACACATCAGTGACTGGGTTGGGGCAGGTGGACTAATGCAGGGCATGGGGAGGTGGAGGAAATGCCTCAGCAAGAATAGACACCACTGTATGTCACGAGCACGATAGACTTTGCAAAGCCCTTACAGGTTCAAATAGCCATTAATTTTTTCTCGACAACATTTTAGCTTTTCAAATTTTATTACAAAAAAAAAAAGTTTAATAAATGCAATTTAATGGTTTGCCTTTCTGACTGTAGACAGAAGCACAACTACCATAATAATCACAGCAACGATACCAAAGGCAGGCAGGACTCCCAGAGTGATCTCTTTGATGACCTTGTACTCATCTAGAAGAAAGGGATAAGTTAGACACCAACAACAATTGCCATTGCAAATCTACCAACTGCATCCAGTATTACCTTGGAGGGTCTTTGCAGGATCAGAGTCCACAAACAGCAATGGTCCGGGAAGACTGGCCAGCACAGAATGCCTGTTTAAGAACAATTCATCTACAACAGATGTGAAAAAATTATAAATTAAGAGCCACTTGTTTTCAGGGATGGGGAGGCGAGGGAATTAAATGTTTGGAAACACTTGCCTCTTTTCCTTCTAGACCCTTCACAACTTTTTGTACAGAGAGGGTAGTCTGGAGACTGGAGGCTGCAAATAAGAGCACTGCAGTGGAAGAAGACCTGCAAAAGAATATGTTTAGTTATGGATAAGGTTTTAGACTTTCCCTTAAGCTACAACTTTGCTAGTTAGATCAGAAGGCAACCATAGCATTCCAGCTATGGTGAATATGTAAGACCCTGGCCCCCACCCCCATGGAGCGCAAAACATCCTCCCATGGATTGCAAGACAACACCGCCAAGGATAGCAAGATGACCACCACCCACCCCATGGATTGCAAGACTACCCCCCTGCTCATGGCCACAGTTATGACAGTTCCAGAAGCATGATGGGAGTTAGTTTCACTACAGTTGTGCCGAGGTTGCCTACCAAGTTAGTTTAGGGGAAAAGCCTCAGAAAGTTGTCTAACAAAGCTTGAGGCTGGCCTTAACGAGTACTTAAAACTGGTTTTAGCCTCCATCACCTAAATGCCCAATTTGCAAGCCAGGATTTGAAGAATTGCCATGGGTCGATGGCCATTTTGCATATGGCCCAACAGCCAAACATACAGTATTAATGCCAGACTACAGATAAGAGGGCAGGTTTATTTGTTACCCAACCTGCAAAAACTTTACTATATTACAGCTTACCTGTCCTTAATGTGATGCTGCATTAGTTTTTAGCCAACTACTTTTGTTTCTCTATAACTGCAGACATACAACCACCTCTAATGCAACCACCACATCTAAGGACTATAAGCTGCTAGACGTTTCTATGCACTTCTAAAACCCCATTACTTACAAAGCTAGATACATCTTCAAAGACAAATTCAAAAGCCTTGACTTCAAATCGCTTGCGGTGTTTTGGAAGCAGCACATTTGAAACTTTATGAAAAACTGTAAGGTAGTCATCTCGGTCTTCTTCACAACTAGAAGAGGGGAAAAACCTAGTAAGGCTAAAGAACCAAAAACTTCCTTATTAAAGCCAATCTAAACCACATGTGCTCAACCTTTTAGTGTTTGAAGGCCAAGTTATGTTTCGGGATCCCCAATAGTTTATAGAACTGAAATCTGATCAGCAAGTGAGGTCACAAGATCAGTGTGTATTCTTCTGGAATCTGGGTGAGCTTTCTGTATATTATCCAGATCTGTGCAGTAATCCCGTGTGAGACTTGGAGCTTCCTGTAAGACTGGTCACTGCTGCTCTACTTGTCCAGGGTGACTGGTCTTTTCTCCTCGCCATGTAGTAGGTAAACCTATGGTGTTCCAAACACAGCTCTACAGCACAGTAACTGTCACCACTACTTTTGCTAGATAACCGGGTTTGAAAAGGCATTTGGGGCACTCAGTGGATTGATATCCTTTGACCTTTACAAATCGCTTGCGGTGTTTTGGAAGCAGCACATTTGAAACTTTATGAAAAACTGTAAGGTAGTCATCTCGGTCTTCTTCACAACTAGAAGAGGGGAAAAACCTAGTAAGGCTAAAGAACCAAAAACTTCCTTATTAAAGCCAATCTAAACCACATGTGCTCAACCTTTTAGTGTTTGAAGGCCAAGTTATGTTTCGGGATCCCCAATAGTTTATAGAACTGAAATCTGATCAGCAAGTGAGGTCACAAGATCAGTGTGTATTCTTCTGGAATCTGGGTGAGCTTTCTGTATATTATCCAGATCTGTGCAGTAATCCCGTGTGAGACTTGGAGCTTCCTGTAAGACTGGTCACTGCTGCTCTACTTGTCCAGGGTGACTGGTCTTTTCTCCTCGCCATGTAGTAGGTAAACCTATGGTGTTCCAAACACAGCTCTACAGCACAGTAACTGTCACCACTACTTTTGCTAGATAACCGGGTTTGAAAAGGCATTTGGGGCACTCAGTGGATTGATATCCTTTGACCTTT